CTTTTGGACTTTGGGGGAGGGATGAACAGGTGGTGCTTCTGTAGGATAAGAAGTCTCCTCTTTAGGATCAACAATTTTTGTAGAAGAAGAGACTGCGTAAAAAGAGCAAATCAAACATAAGTAAAGGTAGAAATATCATACATGCTTAAAGGATAAAAGGAGAAATAATCTCACCTAAAGGTATATTGCTTAAGAAGGACACATGATCAATATGGGTAAGCTAATGGGACAAGTCAATTTCTAATAATTAAAGGTAAGGGTAATAGGATAACTTTGAAACAGTAATGGATTTGTTAATTGGTTTGAGATATTAGAGTTCATGATGTGATTTAAGTTCTTGAACCCATTTGGGGTGAGTTAGAAGCATAGAGATTCCAAAGGGAGCATAAGAGAAGATCGGTAAGTTGGTGGGACAAAATCTCTCAAAGGAAGTTCTGTTTAAAAGGTTTATAATTTTTCTAGAATTTCGATTTTGGTAAACCTTTTCTCGTAAAGAAAAAATTGTTTCTGAAAATGGATTCTAATTGAAGAGGATTATAGCATTCTTGATAAAAATTCTTGAACTTTATAATTTGAAGATAATGCTCATATTTACCTTTCTTAGCCTTCGATTTGTCCTGCACCGCAAATTCAGGGTGAGCATCTAATCGAGTTATACAATAGTAAAAGAAAAATGCCTCGTGGAGAACCATTGATCCCACGATGTATAAAATTCAAAAGTACTCAAGAAATTGGACTCAAAGGGACTAGGTGAAACTCAATTAGCTCTAAGAGAGTCAGTCGAAGAAGTTATTCTTGCAAGCTCAATTCATTATAAGTGGTACCTCTTGGAATGATTTGATGGAATCAAGAAGTGAGGAAGGCTTGGCTCAAGCCAAATTGATGGGAGAAGTGTTGGGGGACATATGAGAATAAATTTACATCCTTCATTTGGAAACCAGATACTAGTATGTCTCATGTCAAAAAACCACTTTAAACTTCAATTAACTTAGCTTGTAATCCCGAAGTGTTGGCTAGGGGTTTTTAACTTGAGCCATGATTAACCTCAAATGTGGTGGATGGATTTGTTGATTTTGGATAAGGGGGCAAGAATGATATCGAATTCTTGTCGTGATAACAAGATTCGAAGATAACCTTTATATAGGATGGACTCAAGCTTGTAGTGTCTAAGGTGTTGAGTAGCTAATTTGGCACTTTCCATGGGATATGAAGGAATTGGGTTGAGGTGACTTCAGGTGCAGGGAGACGTGATTCAAAAATGGAAACCAACCAAAGTTGTATAAATCATAGTGGTCTGGAGAGTTTACCACCAAGGTGATTTGATCAAAGAGTGTCCACTGCTTCGCCAAAAATAACATATATGTGAGCTAGCAATAACTTGGCTAAGCAGATGTTGAGGATCCACAATGACGAAGATATGCCAAGTTGAAGTAGTGTTGGGAGATTTGGATTAATCGGGGACAAAAAACATGTGTACATAACCAATACATAAGAAAAGCAATGTGCTCTTCATCGGAAACATCGACAGTGGGGTCATCGATAAAATTCTCTTACTAAAAGTGGCCATTAGTTTTCATCCCCCATTGAATTTTTTCTTCGAGCTCCTTGTCATGTGGGAAAGCATTTATATAGTATCTCTCTCTAACAGGTTTTATACATGTTATAGCAACCACCTTAAGAACGGTTAGAGTAACTAGGCCACAAGGAAGCTCTATAACGTTAAGATCTTTGTCCATAATTGGGCTGCCAGTAGGAACATCAACATATCAAAGTAACTTATGTCAAATTGAGAGATATAAAGTAAATTGTATATGCCGATTTTCTTTCGGTGCACTTTGAATTTGGATTCGACTCTGTCAAGCCACTTGATGTGGGAAGGTTTCTTCTGCGGTGGTCCAAAATGGTAGACTTTGGATAATTGGGAGAGGAAATCAACCCTAAACTTCCCTTCGATTTCTTGCAAAATAGATTTTCCTTCTTTAGATGAAGGGAAATTTGCAGGCCCATTTGGGTCAGGAATCAAAGATCCTCCAAAGACATAAGATATTCCTCCTACTAAGTATGGAATAAGTACTTAGGTTACACATATTTTTTGTGATTCTTCTTCCAGACCAAGAATGGGAGCAAATGTCTTGCCATTGATTTCAACGAACTGTTTGGGAGGTAGTAGAAGAGGAAGCCATGTTACTTGAATAAGTAGCCCAGTATAATGTAAAGGAAGTGGGAGTGTTTGAAGGTTCAGAAGGTTAGACATTAAAGAGGTGCTGGGAAACAACTGTATAGAAGTGGAGAAGAAACAATATTAATTTTAAAGAAAACAACTTCCTGGGAAACCTAGAAATATTTAATGGGCTTTTATTGGCTCACATCTGAGCAAGCAAATATTTTAACTCGCTATTGGAACCAATGACGACTAAATGGATGATGATGCAAAGAGTAACATTTATTAAGGGAATTTGGCTTTTATGAAAGGAATAGAACACAATAATGAGAATATGGGTTGTGCAACTTTTAGACGAATTGTAACAACTAAGTAGATTAAAATATTAAGATATGTTGTATTGTAATTGAGAATAAGAGAAATTTATATTCATCAAAATTAATGTTACATTTTCTTAGGGAGAATTTTGTTACTAGCAAATTTGTAAATACATAAATTGAGAAATATAGGAGGTTTTCAAAGGGAACAATAATAAGGAAAGAAGAAAATTGGAGTTATTAAGGGTTAAATATCGAGACTAAAAGAGTCAGAGTAAGAAATTTGATTTAAGTAATAAATTGGAATGTACAGATCGAATGTATAAGCTTTGAATGCTTATGGTTAGGAAATGCTCGAAAGTGTGTATTATCGAGAAGAGAGAATAGGTTGAACAAATGAGAAGTCAATCAAAAGTATGTATGGTTAATTGAACGTTGAGAATCGAAGAATCGGGAATATCAAGTCCAGGGTTGCTAATCATGAGAAACAGGACAATGATAGAATGTTATGCAATCGAAAGATATACAGAAGTGGTTAAGGTCTCATTGCGTGACATATGCACTTATGGGTATTATGTGGCAACAAAATGATGAAAATAATCATTTGTGGATTTTATTTTTCATTTTGTGTATTTTATTTTACTTTACTTTTATTTTATTTTCATTTTTATTTTAAAGTGTCTTAGCGGTTACACGATGAAAATATAAATAGGGTGAAATAAACATAAAAAAGGTGATTGTCAAATTGTAAGAAGAAACTTACATTGTGAAATACGCTATGAACGAGGGGAAAATATTTTCAATGATTATGTTCTTTGCAATTTGAATCACCATCTTTGTCGATTTTTTTATCAATTCATAATTTATCCTTGATAATGAGTTAAATTTATTTTTATACAATTTACTTTCTTCGCATATTTATCTTTTGTTGCACATTTACTTTTCAGCAATTTATTTTTACTTGTACTTTTATTATTCTCATATTTTACTCTAAATATGATAAATTACATTAAAAATCCAAGTTATAGGTGGGTGATCGTTAATTGAAATACATCTTATTTTAATTATTGAATTATTAGTATCAATCTCATATAAATCCTCTTAAATTGAAAATTTTGAAAATGTTTTGTAGTTATTAGTATAAATTAAATTAAAATAATCCATATATTGTTTGAATTATTTAACGAATATTTAGATATAAATTATTTGATTGAACAACAAATGGAGCACCATTTAAATAATAATTTATATATAATTATTATCAAAATATGTCCTATTTTAGAATGTTTATAAAATAAAATAAAACTCCTAGTTAAAGATTATAAATAATCAAACCAAAAAAATTCAGTAGACTTAAGCAGATTTTTTTGTTATTAAGCTAAAATATTATTTTGATTTCTAAAGTATAGTTGTATTTATTTTTTGGTGTACAATATTTTTTATTTATTTTGCTTCTTCTAACATGTATAATTATTTTTTTTTTGTACATATGATATTTTTTAATTAGTGTCTTTGAAAAATAATAGATAAAAACTAAAAACAGATATTACAGAGAAAAAAATATTATTTTATAAAGTAAAATAACTATATATATATATATATATATATATATATATATATATATATATATAATTGAAGAAAGAGTCAAATAAATTATTTTTAAATATTAAAAACAAAATGCAACTATATTATTTAATCCTTATTATTATTAAATATTAGTTCCAACACAGTCTTTAAAGACAACTTTGATAAAGTTAGCAACTAATATTTTTTTTTTCACTAAACCTTACTCGATTATTTGTTGTTCAACAATTTAAATATATATATATATATATATATATATATATATATATATATATATAAACTATTATCATAAATTATTATAATTTTTTTTAATTGCATAATTTTTATCTGATGATCTTAGTATTTATGGTAAATATAAATATTATAAAAACAAGTCAGAATAACTCTCTAAGATAAATAAATAAATAAGTAAAAATTAAATAAAAAATTAATGATTTATCAACATTATAAGGGGCGGAAGGAGGGGACTAGTGAAACCCCGGTCAAAAAACCAAAAAGTTCTTAAAAAAATATTTGTTTTGAATTTATCCTCTAATATTAATTTTCTGTGCCTAGAAGTTTAAAATAACAGGGCCCTTTTGCCTTCTAATCTTTGAGAGTATATTTAATAAAAATAAAAATCATGAACGACCAGCTTTTAAATCCCTGCAATAGTTGCTCAGCATGGAATTTTTGTAAAATTCATTCACCTGCTCCTTTTCTGCTGCACCAGAGGAGTGTTACGAACACACATTTAACACTCTCTTAGCAGTCATATTTTACTGCAAATTAAAGAATCAGGAGAGAGACATTAACTAAGTGTGAATAGCTAAATTTTGTGATTTTAAATAAATATCAACAAATAAGAGAGTGTATTCGAAAGAGCGTTGAAGAGTGTGTTGTAGCATTTCTCTTCCAGCAGCAAATATCCCTCCAACTTTTAAGCGTGATAGCATGTTTCAGAAGTTAGTGATCATTCTCATCATGGTGGAAATGTTTCTGGAATTTTCAACAGACATGTAATTGAGGGTACCAGGTTTCAATGCAGATTGAAGAATGTTCACTTCTGGCACATGAGAGTGACTGTAAGCTATAATATGATTAGACTCCTTAGCTCTGCTTTGTTCGGAAGTATCGCTGTAAATGCAAAACAACAAAGAGAATGAAGCTCAATCAAACACAAATAATTATATATTTTATGAAATTTACATTTATGATTCGCAACACTATTACCTTACCCGACTAATTTCTGAATTTTGTTAAGACACCGTGAGCTCATGGTGGCTTGCATTATGCCACTTCTATTCGTGGTGGTATCTCTAGGACAAGCTGAATTACACTACAGAACAAACAATTTGAACAACGTAAGAAGGAATTTCCTCTTTCTTTTTGCATTAACACTATGTGTTAGTTTGCATATTATCATTCATGATAAAATAAGCTAACCAGACACTTTCTAACACTCTTTTTTGCCATATTCTTTCGTTTTGAATGAAATTCACGTGAATCTTTCCAAATACAGATGATAAAATTCGCCCTATTTTGACCAGCTCCATCTCAGATCCGTCATAATGAGATAGGTTACAGACTCTAATTCACCCTCGTTAAAGACCAGGCTAACAGGTCAGCCTATACATTGTTTTTATATAAAAATTTATATATATATATATATATATATATATATATATATATATATATATATGAAAGATATATCTTTAATTATATAAATAATTTTTAAATTTTTATTTATTAATTAATATTTTTATTAGATAAATTAAAAAAAATTACTATATTTATGTGTCAAAATAATTAATTATAATTAATAATTTAAATTTAATTAATTAATTTTTATAATTTAAATTATAATATATTTAGATATCTTCGTAATAATAAAAAATATAATATTTTTAATTATAATCATTTTTATTTCTATTTTAATATATAAATATTGTTTTAAAGTAGATCAACAAGTTAGTTCGCATCGCCCCATCCTTGGTCTGTCAAATTGACGAGTTAGGTCAGACAAGCCAAAATGGGTTGACAAACTAAAATTATTAACCCGCCCCACCACTTTTTAGATAGTCTATTTTCATCCCTACTAAATACGTGGATTTGATTTTTCATGTGGTGTTTCATGACGTTGAAAGTATGATTTCATGTGGTGTTTCATGACGTTGAAAGTATGATTTTTTAAATTAATAATTTTTATTTATTTACAACTTCTTTACCCCTTTTATTTATCTAGAAGTTCCCCTCTCTTTATATTATATTTTTTAGAAGTTTATTAATTTTTTAAGAGAATTGTCATTTACAGGATTCGAACCCAAGTACTTTAGAGTAGGAGGTCGATACTCCAACCACTAAACTACTAGAATTTTCCGATAATAACTTACAAATAAATTATATTTATATACAAATAAATATATATCCGTGTAAATATATAAATATAAATATATTTATATATTTTGATATATTTATATAGTTATATATTTATATGTTGGATGTGAGGGCACACTCGAAAGTGAAAGTGTGTGTCGAGTGGGTTTTCAAAATTTGATGCTAAATTTGTGAGCAGGTATCTTTATATGAGTTTGTAATTTAATGACAGAATATAATCTTTATAATTTTATTTATATAATGATATAAAATAAATTTGGGAAACGCGTTATTTGCTCTCAAGCGAAAAATACCAATTTTCGCTCAAACGAGACTTGAGTAAGTGAATTTCCGTAAGCTTTAACATATTTTCACTCAAGCAAAAGTCAATCACACTTTCACCCTCGATCAAAAAATACCAATATAATTTATTTGTAAGTTATTTATCAAAAAATTATAGTAGTTTAGTGGTTGAGATATTAACTTTCAACCCTAAAATACTTGGGTTCTAATGCTACCAGTGACAATTCATTAACTTAAGAGAATTTTTGGTCGAAAATAAAAATAAAAATACTTTCCAGAAAATATATACAAATAAATATATATTTACATGGATATATATTTATTTGTATATAAATATAATTTATTTGTAAGTTATTATCGGAAAATTCTAGTAGCTTAGTGGTTGGAGTATCAACCTCCAATTCTAAAGTACTGGGTTTGAATCCTACCAATGACAATTTTCAAATTTAAGTGAGTTTTTGGGTGAAAAAAAATAAAATAAAAAAGACTTTCCACGTCGGTTTATATGGGAACCGACGTAGAATGTGTTTAATATTCAACTTTCAACGTCGGTTCATCCGGGAACCGACGTGGAAAGTACTTTTACGTCGTCTCAGCTTATAACCGACGTTAAATGACGACGTAGAAAATATATTTTGTAGTAGTGATGCACAAACCTAAACAAATTTATGATAATAAAAAAATTTAAAAAAATTGACTTTTATTGATTCTTTGTCGTGCGTCAATAAAGAACATAATGGTGTATTTATATACTACCATAAAATCCTAATAGGAAATAAACTCCCATAATTAAATAATAACCACCCAAGATGTCTCAACAAATTCTTAATTATCTTTTTTATTTAATTTTATCCTAATAAACTCTTAAACTAATTATTTTTTTATTTTAATTTTATCCAACAAAACTTTCCCTTAAAATTAAATCTTGCTGCAACAAAAATTGAGATCGACATGATCGACCTCCCGACTTGCCTAGCTTCAAAACTTCCCGAGGTTCAAAATATCCTAAGCTCCCAACTAGCCGACTTGCCAACTTGCGAAACACTCGGGCACCCAAGGTCCTTAGCACCCAGGCACCCAAGGTCCCGAGCACCCAAGCTCCTTGCATCCTTTATCTCGATCAGTTTCTTGTAATTATTGAATAGTACAGTTAGGGATGGCAAAACGGTCGGGCTAGCCCACCAGCCCGCTTTGGCCCGCCCCACCAAGCCCGTCAACCCAACGAGCCAACCCGTGGGACTGGGCGGGCCAGCCCGTGACCCGCCTTATTAATAAAAAATAATTTTTTATTGTAATAAAATTAATTATAAAGATAATATATAAAGTTAGAAATTTTAAAATGAGAATTAAAAAAGTTCCACTCTCACAAAAAATATTCTCCCTACTTGAAACATAACCTTCTCTCTCATGTTCTCCTTGTTCATCCTAAGCACTGATTATTTTTATCTTTATGACTTGAATTAAAGATGTAAGAATTACTCAACCAACAATAATATGAAGTTTTATCAAAAAAAAAGATATAGGTATTTGAAATTTTCATTATAAAAAATATAAATTTTATAAGTTTTAACGTTATATATATATATATATATATATATATATATATATTTGTTATTATTTATTATTATGTAAATTTTATTATTGTTCTAAATTATAATTTCTCAATCCATATTGTTCTAAATTATAATTTCTTAAAACAATATATTGATTTATATTATTAAATTGAAATAATATATATATATATATATTAAATTATTGACAAACAGATAATAATCTTATTATTAAATTTATTAAAAAAATTATTTAAAAAAATAAATTATTTTTTTCTAAATTATGGCGGGTCAGCCGTCAACCCGCTCATTGGCGAGGCGGGTCAAGGTCTACAATCCGTCATGACTATAACGGGTCAGTCTGCCCCGCTTTTGGCGGGGCAAAGGCGGGGCAGGCCAAAACAGGGTGGGCTGACCCATTTTGCCATCCCTAAGTACAGTAGGCAATGACTTCATGAAAATATCTCAACTTGTCACATGCACAAACTCCACATTTCCTTATTTCACATGTTCTCGAATGAAATAAAAATGCACATCAATATACTTTTTCCTCTCATAGATGATTGAATTATTCGTTAGTTCAATGGTCAACTTATTATCAACTGGAATCACCGTTGCACCGAGTTGTCTCTCCTCCACCAAGTTCAATAAATTTTTGAGTCACACTGCATGACACACACTCCCTGATGCTATGCCTAGCAACTCTTCACCTATTTTCTTCTTATTGAGCTCTATTAAAGATCAACCTAAAAGTATCTCATCTTTCTTGAATATTTGGTTCATACCAATAGCTTAGTCAAAGCTCGACAGTTCAGTCATCACCAATGTGTCGTTGTATTCTATAACTTGGATATTCTCATTTATAACAGCTTGAATCTTCTCTTCAATAACAAAGTCTTCTCTTCAATAACAAGGATTTTCTCATCTATAACAACTCAAATATTCTCTTCAATAACAGCTCAGACCTTCTCATCTACAACAACTCGGATCATTTTGACCACAACAGTTCAGACATGGTCATTTCAAAATCCACTGCTTGAACTTAACTTGGATTTTTCTTTGTACTCGCCATTTTTCTAAAGTTTGATCCTTATCACACCTTCGCAAATTCTCCCCTCCATGCTTGGCAAGCTGAGAACCATGCTCTTGATGTTCTTCTTCAACTTCACCGATAATGTTGTTTCTTCCTCTTTAGTTTCCAAACTGGTTCCTACTAGTGGTGTATTAGCTCGGCCTCCTCTATCATCCTCTAATTCTCCCTAGTTTCACTCACTTGTTTCATCAACTCAGACGTCCGGATCAACGTCATGATTATCATAATAAATCAACTCAGTTAGACCACAAAAATACATGTGATCAAATTGATGATTTTTCTTCAACGTGTCCTCTACATTTAATTTCAGACTCCTCTCCGAATGCTTCTTAGTTGCAACTTATACATTCTATTATTTTCCATCTATATTCAGGAAATCATGAGTTTGTCCTTCACTTTTAGTATTTAGTCTTTCATGAATATCGAGTATCCCTTCTCCATCATTTGTTCCATACTCAAAATATTACTCTTGAGATCTGGAACATAAAACACATCTTGGATTGACCCGACTAGGCCATTATTCTGCAAGAAACAAATAGTACCTCAGTCTTTTATCGAAACATTCGAATCATCTCCAAAAGACACATGATCACCCTCAAATTTCTCCAATTTGCTAAATAGGTACTCGTCTCTACACATATGGTTACTTGCACTAGTGTTTAAATACATTATCGAACCTTCTGAGTTATAATCTACTCCCAAATGTATTGTCGAGTTGTGCTTGGTCATCAACAATATTGTTTCTTCAGTTTTTGTCTCTTTGCGATATAAGTCTCTTCCACCTTTTGACATTCTTTCTCAAAGTGTCTAATCTCACCATAATTGTAATACTTGTCCAAGTAACAGTCCTTTGCACAGTGGTTATATTTGTCACACTTGAAGCACTCAACCTTATAATGACTTATCGAGCGACCTCCTCATCAACCACGTCTATTATCTCGCCAATTTTTCTTATTTCCATCTTCTTTCTCATCACCTTGGTCACGTTGGCCTCGACCACTGCATCTTCTTTTGCCTTGTTTTGGAGCAATTGCATAGTCATCTCATCCTTCTTTTTCTTCTTTCGGTATTCATAGGCTTCAAGAGAACTAACAAACTCTTGTATTGTAAGCTCGGACAAATCCTTTGCTAGATTTATCGCGCACCCTACATTCTCATATTCATCTGTTAATGACCTCAAGGTCTTTTCAATATGAAAAATGTCTATCCGTTCTGATTAAGTTGTTTCGCCACATTTTCAACATGTAAGACATATTTGAAAACTCCTTTCAACTCTTTCATTCTCATACTCTCCATCTTGCTACACAATTTTTGTCGCCGAATTCGTGTGACTCGGTTATCATTCTTGTACTCATTCTCTAATGCATCACATGCTTCAATTGTAGATGTAGTTTTTGCAATCTTCACAAAATCATAATCTTTTACAACTCAAAACAACGTAAATAGAGTTACACTATTCTTTGAATGCTGCTCTTTCAATGCCTTGAGATCGAAGGTTGTTCATCCTTCCGTGGTTTCTGATTCTTCAAAACCTTAATCTATTACTTTCCAACAATCTTGGGCTTTTAGGAGAGCCTTCATCTACATATTTCATCTATCATAGCTAATGTCTTTCATCAGTCAAAGCACAACTCTAGCATTCGTCAAACCAGCCATTCTCACTCTTGAACTTTTTTTTACACTCAAAAACTCAAACTCTAGCTCTCCCAAAAAACCCCAACTCTTTTAAAAAATCCTAACTCTTCTAAAAAAACTCAGGCTCATGATACCCAATTTAATAATAAATAATTTCAAAAAAATTGACTTTTATTTATTCTTTTTCATGTCTCTACGAGGAATACAATGGTATATGTATATACTACTACAAAACCCTAATCTTATCTCAGAAAATAAAAACTCCCAAAATTAAACAATAATCACTCAAGACATTAGTAATATCAACAAAAATCAAAATATCCTAATAAACTCCTGATTATCTTTTTTATTTAATTTTATCCCCATAAACTCTTAAACTAATTATCTTTTTAATTTAATTTTATCCAACAATTTCAACGAACTAGGTAACATATCAGAAAGAGAATGGTTCATGAAATTGTATTGCCAAAACCCCTTTTCATGGTGATAACCTTGGACATATCAATGATCCGCATGGTTCATGAAATAGATTAGCACTTACTCCTTGTCCAAAGTCTCCTCTAGGATAGGATTGTGGATGACCTAGAACATCCTGATCATGCAAATTCTGCACAAAGGCATGCTTAAGAAGAGCTGATGAAGATGGTCGATCTGCAGGGTCCCTTTGGAAACATTTTTGGAGGAAGTCCTTTCCCACTGACGATAAAGTTTCTGGTATAGGCGGGGACTCTTGCAGTACCTTGAACATGGCCGAAGGCTAATAAATGAAACACAATAAAGTAGATTTTTTATCATTCTTCTTTGGAGTATAATTATTACACAAAGTCATGCCGAAAGAAGTTAAAAGGAGGACTGATACATAGAATATATGACTACTCTAATATTGAACCAATAGTTAACATGCATAAGGCTTGAGAAAAATGAGTCAACAAGAATAAGAGGGCGCTCACCCCTTCACGTTCACTCCAAGGAGGTTTCCCAGTTAACATTTCTATAATGGTGCACCCTAAGCTCCATATATCAATGCCCATGGCAACATCAGGATTAGATTTGTTCTTTATGGCACCATTCACGACCTTCAATGGACAAATGAGTCAAAAGGGGCATGTCATTACCCATTCAAAACACTACAGATGATTTGAGCAATAAAATACCTCTGGAGCCATCCAGTAAGGACTACCCTTTAAAGAAAGATCATATGAATTCCCCATCAGCTGGAAAAAGCAGATTGGTTAGATAGCAAACCACCAGAAACAAAAGTAAAAGACACTAGCATCAATAACAATGCAAACCATAAAAGACAAATAACATGAACGAGGTGATTATAACCAGAGCAGCTATATTTCTACGTAACTAAAAGTATATGTACATAAAAGTACAGAATTTAATAGCTTACAATTTTCGCCAGCCCAAAATCTGCAAGTTTCACAATGCCTGATTCATTGACCAGCAAGTTTGCACCTTTGATATCTCTAAAGTACCAAAGCAATCATTTAAAAAAAACTTCAATTTGCCACGCCTATCAAATGTAATTAGCGCGATAGAATGTTTCCTTTCATTAAACAATCCTTGTTACCTGTGGATGGTTTTGTTGCAATGCAAGTAAGCTAATCCAGAGAGAATATGCCTCGTAAAATTGCGAACCACAGATTCTGTCATAGCTCCGCAATGGTCACGCATAAATTTACTGATTGATCCTGGATGGACATATTCCATATATATGTACAAATGACTGCCAACCTGAAAATACAAATGCCTCAAAAGTCAAAACGTTCTAATTTACTATCGCAAATACCCTTAAATTTTCATTAAGTTTCATAAAATATACTTGATACAAGAAGTTAACAAACCAACAATTAACTCACTATTTCACTTCCATAATACTGCACAATGTTGGGGTGGCGTAGTCGATGGAGAATTTTGACTTCCTGGAATAAGAAATTTTTTATGATTGCAGTCTATGTATAATGTACCATCCTTTTGACGAATATGCAAAAAGTAAAATATAATCACAATGGAAAAGAAATATTAAGATCTAGAGGAGTAGAAATTATCATCCTAATGTTGAACTCTTCGCTTTTATTTACCTTAAGTTTATTTTCTGTATACAAAACATTTTTTGGATTATTTATACTAGTTATCAGAACAATGAATTGGAGAACATAATGTAGTAACAGAAGAAACCTAGACGAGTAGCCATGAGGGAAAGATGTAAACAAGTCAGAGTCGTTGCCAATATTACAGAAGATTAAGGAAGAAAATCTTATTCCTTCGATGTTCCAACTATATATTCCAACTTTTCCAGAATATATATGAATTTTGCATGTGTATCATTTACATTAGCAGTTAACTTGCAGTTGTAGGTGTTTAACTCCAATAAAAAATTTCGAATAATAGTTCAGGTCAATGGTTAACTATGGTAAATTCTTACATAAACACAACACTAATTTTGTTGAGTAATCCAAGTGTGGTTCTAAGTCCCATATTGTGTAAGAATGAGAAAGTTAAGCAACATATAAGGAAGTATGACCCATAACCTAATGTCTTAAGGTTTTGGGTTGAGAGTGGTGTCAATCCTTATGTGAGTTAAGCCCATGTCTCATTGATTCTAAGTCCTGGGGAGACTTGGGTAATCCAAGTTGGAGAAAGACCAAGCAATTTTGAGAAAAGACAATTGTGAAGAAGCAATTGGATGGGTAATCCAAGTTGGAGAAAGACCAAGCAATTTTGAGAAAAGACAATTGTGAAGAAGCAATTGGAGAAAGACCGTTGGAGAAAGACCGTGGGCATCACAGATCAAAGATTGACAGAAATAAACAACAACGCAATAGCAAATTTGTGGAGAATGGTACAATGAAGAAGATTTGAGGGAAAGCAATTTTGAGAAAAGACAATTGTGAAGAAGCAATTGAAGAAAGACTGTGGGCATCACATATCAAAGATTGATAGAAATAAACAACAACGTAATAGCAAATTTGTGGAGAATGGTACAATGAAGATTTGGGGGAGATCGACCGTTGAAGAGGAAAGAAATTTTGAGAAAAGACAATTGTGAAGAAGCAATTGGAGAAAGACCGTGGGCATCACAGATCAAAGATTGAAAGAAATAAACAACAACGTAATAGCAAATTTGTGGAGAATGGTACAATGAAGAAGATTTGGGAGTCCCTTGTCAAATTGTATCAAGAGGAAACACATATTGGACTTAGTTTATTATGATGTGCTGGAATCACAAGGTGCTCCAACCAGAAGACTTAAAGAAAATCTTTGTACGGTTTAAACCGGATGTTTAGGTGTTAGTATAAGAGATTTGATTCTTCATAATTAGCCTTGATTACAACAGACTAAGTCCAGACTATTGTACCTATTACAATAGATTTGATGAGGATGATTTTATCATTTTGTCGTTGTATGTGGATGACATGGTGGTAGGCTCTAACAAAGTTTGAATCCAGGTTTATAAGACACAGTTGGCTAGGAAGTCTGATATGAAGAACTACGGACCAACAAATAAGATTTTAGGATATAAATTCACCGAGAAAGAAAAGATAGGAAGGTTTGGTTTTATCAGAAGAATTACTTACTAAAGGTCTTGCAGTACTTCAACATGCAAGGGTGTAAGCCACCGATTTCTACCCTAGTTTCTATCAAGTTATCCCTCAAAATAAGTCCTAGCAATGAAGCAGGGAGGATGGAAATGTCTCGAGTACTGTATGCATTGACGGTGGAAAGTCTTATGAATACCATGATCGATACAAGACCAGACATTGCACAAGCAGTGAGAGCGGTTAGTAAATCAATGGTAAATTGTAGTGGAGAGCATGAGTATTATCAAGAGAATTCTTATCAAAAGAACCTTGGATGTTATATTATGTTTCGAAGGATCAAAACTAGTTGTTAGATACTATCTTTGTTCAAGTTTTGCAGGTGATCTCGATGGGTTTACCTTTGTTAGAGAGACAATGCCTAGTTATCCAAGTTATAGGATGTTGTAACTTTGTCTATTACAGAAGTTGGGTGCATGGCTGCACTCAGGCATGTAAAGAAGATATTTGGATTAAGAGGATAATGGAGGAACTCGGGCACAAGCAACAACAAATTGTTGTGTATTGTGACAGTAAGAATGTTTTGCACATTACAAGGAATCTTGCCTCATATTTCAGGATAAAGCAAGAAGAACCTAGCAGATGTTATGACAATTGGTTAGTAGTGACAAGTTCACATAGAGGCAATCTTACTGAAGGTTATAACAACATGGAAGGCAGTAATAATGTATTGTGAAGATTTGATTAATTTAATCAAAATCTTCGAGTGGGAGATTGTGAGAAGAGAAGTCTCACATCAGGAAAATTATATGTTGGTGCTTACTTTTCTTGTTATAAAATGAGCATCATGTCTACCTTATAAATCACCCGAAATCTCTTTCTTCTTCTTTTTTCTGCTAGTGCATTGCATACTAGTTGAGTTCTTTTATTTTTGAGAGAGAATATTATTATTATTTTTTCTTTATATTTAAAGGGTATTGTAATTTCTTCTGCTAGTAAAATTCTATTATTACTATTGTTGGTTTTCTCATCTTTTATTTTAGTTATGAGTTCTTATGTAGTTATTATGATTCTTAACAAATTTCTCGTAGCCATATTTTTCAACAAGATTTTATACATATATATAAAACTAAGGGAAGGGAAGAACCTGGTCCAGTTGTTTCATGCACTCAACAGATGAAGGATCATCAGAAATTAAATTGACTTCCTTCATTGCACACGAAGCTCCGGTTTCTCTATAAGATAAAGTAGTAATGCACATGAGTAACTACACAGAAAGCATACTTTGTAGCAGATGACATATACTAGTAGCTAATAGCAAAAGAATAAGAATTAAATACTTACAGGTTGGTTGCATGAAAAACACTTCCAAAGGTTCCTCGTCCAATAAGTTTTCCTTTCTTCCATTGACCTTGGACTGAAGGCAGATTTTCAATAGCATGATGCATGGTACTTGATTGATGCAGAACAGATAATTGTGCAGGTGATGAAGCTCTAGGTGGAAGAGGCAAGGGATGTGCATCAACATGGTTATTTTCTGGGCTCACCTTGGACAGAAGTTTATGGTTCTGTGATTCCTCCTCAATTTTAGGATGGAAGTAACGAGTGAGGCTTAGAGGGCAATGAATAGGGGAATGGTCTGGACTATATACGCTTTTAGCTGATAACATTGTCAATTTGTCATTAACTTCCGAAGAGAAGTTGGAGGTAGGATCAAAGTAATCTACATTGTTTGATCTATATGGACTAGTATCAGGACTAGTGACTACGCTTATTGGAGCACTCTTGGGCTTGGCAGCAACCCCCAAATTCAAGTGGGGATTACCTTCAGAGTCATTACCATGAGACACTGCTCTTCGGTCTTTCCATGAACTATGGCCTGCATTTACAACAGCAACATAAGAAGGTATAGCATGCTCAATACTGAATATTCAATTCTTGAGGCATAGAACAATAATGGAGAAAAAAATTACCTGTCAAGAAACATGCTGCTGGAATATGCTCTCTCAGATTGTATTTTGCACTTGGAAGAGTAGAATCCAAAGAGAGTGTAGGTTTTGTACGTGTCACTGTCACTGCATCGTGAGACAATGCGTTCCTGATAAATCATTGCAACGAATCACCAAGTGGCATAAATATAAAGCACAGTTGCTGACTCTTTTAAAGGCTAATAACTGAACCAGATCCGAATCATTTATAAATGAGTAATACATATTCCTTCTCGTAACAAAGCTTGTTCTACGGATCAACTTCCATACAAAACTCAATATCGAAAAATGAAGAGCATCAATTCCTCATAAAACATTCCTGTAATCTGACGGTGTACACATTCTGACATTGCCTTAAAACATTATTTCACGATAATATTTCCTTGCTTAATCACTCTACATCTATTTTCACACCAATTTTATTGCTAATCAAAGAATTAATTAATCTACAGATTAATAAACAATAAAATTAGTGTAAAACTGGTACCGTGGCACTAAAAAGGAAACATTTTTCCAAAAAGTTATAATAAACTCTAGCTGATTGTGGGATCGATTAGGATAGAAAAAATGAGAAAGAAAAAGGAAAGGTATAACGAACATTCTTTTCCTTTCGCTTATGATAATAATATATGAAAATTCACACAGTACACATACTTAGTTGATACTGGTTTTTTCTTTATCACGTAAAACTACCTATAACAATTACATTTTTTTTTCTCTTTATCTAGGCACAGACAAGCTATGCAATAATCATATTTCTAACATACAAAAGATTTACTAGTTTAATTTCTTTCCTTTTCCTAAGATATATTGATGTTATTAATGTGAAAAATCGATCAACTTTGCTAATAATTAATTCATCTTATCTTTTTATTTCTAGGCATAGATTAGCACGAGCTATATATGAATCATATTCTAACCCACAAAACATAAACTATTTTTAATTTCTTTCCTTATCTCTAAAATATGCACCTTTAAATTTCGTACTTCTTTTCACCCATATTATATATTGCGAAATATGTATTGAATTTGCTAATGATTAATCTAGAGAGTGAAGAAAATGGAAATACTTTTAATGGAGTCTCTTTCCTATTCACATTTTTTTTCATTTAATGAATTCGAATTCAAGATGTTATTTCACTTCCATGTTTGTTTTCAGTTTTGTGCATTGAATTAGAGTATAAAAAATATTTCAACGATGAAGCAATGTTAACCTCGTGGAAGAAAAGCTATGCAGTTCTAACGAAGAAGAGATGCGAGGTTGTGCGGAACCGGAGCTGATTGACTTGGCTCGACGGGTCAACGGCGCTTCGGGAAGCGGAAGCGGTTGTGGCTGAGAAGAGAGGGGCCGGTGGTCGGAACCGCCGTGGGAGCGAGGCCCCGGCGAGCCCGTAAAAGATGAAGAAAACTCGGCGGAGTGGAAGAAGAAGAAGCCAATGTCCTGGTCGCTGAGGTGCCGGAGCTTCCTCTGCCTGGTCAACCGCCGCGGCAGAGCACAGTCACCGGCTCCGCCGTCCTTCCGCTCGGCTCCGGTGGATGGAGAAAGCGGTTTTCGGGAAAGAGGCATTTGAGAGATGTTGTTGAAGAGTGTGTGATTCGTGATTGGCTATTTAATTTGATGTTTCATTCAAATTTGAGTAGAACATGTGAAGCAAAACCATGGAAACAACCTATGCCTGTTTCAGTGGACTTTGGTTGCGCTAATAATTTCCATGTTCCAACGAGAATTGTCTAGTGTCTGGAATAATGCATACTTCACTGTCCCTCGCTTTGACTTTATGTTGAAGTCGTTTTTCCCTATCTGTGGAAGGAGAGAAACTAAACTCTAACAGTAACTAACTTATAATTATTAAATATATTTATTAAATAGTAACAAATTCCACTTGAATTTAGTATGCTTTTCTCTTCAATTTTTTTTGTCTTACTTCACCTTGACCATATGAAATTAATATATATTGATGTGGAGTTTATCCTCACACTAGTGTAAAAAGGGGCTTTTACGTCACCCAATTGTCGTCGCATGTAAAAATATTCGACGTAAATAAAACGCGGTGGCAATTTTGTAAATAAGAGAGAAAACTTTTACGTCGCACACCCCAGCATGCGACGTAAAAGCCTCTTCTACGTCGCAGCTACGTGGCGCGACGTAAAGAGACTTTTTACGTCGCGTGGTGGGGTGCGCGACGTAAAAAGTGATAGCTTTTTACGTCGCGCACCCCACCACGCGACGTAAAAAGCCTTCTTTTTACATCGCGCCACGTAGGTGCGACGTAAAAGAGGCTTTTTACGTCACATGCTGGGGTGTGCGACGTAAAAAGTCTCTTTTATTTCCCTCCCAGCCCACTCCCTCGTCTCGCGCAGCAAGGGTTTTTGAGAACGACGACAACAGCTACCTCTGCACACCATTTTCTATCAGTTTGACAGTGAAAAACATCACCATTGTGTGTCATTTGACGAACTTGATATTTCTTCCCGATTGGATTCGAGTTTGAAATCATTTTTCGTCTACACTCGAGGTTAGTGTTCTATGTCATTGCTATATGTTTAAATTGAATCCGTGATTGTTTTTGGGGATCTCAATCACGTTATTGTATGAATGTCTCCACTGGATTGTTATTGGAATGTAATTATTTGTTTGAGTGCATTTTCGGTTTACACACTCCATTTACGTGATTTGTTGTTTGTATATTAATTTCTTTTTACATATAATTTTTAAATCTCTAGGAGTGACGAAACTTTATAACATAATATGAATCGAAGTTGGATGAATGCACGTCGTATTAGTGAAGAGTACGAAAAGGGAGTTGAGGAATTTTTGAAATTTGCTAGTGAAAATGGAAAAGCTATGAAAGGGACATATTATTGTCCATGTGTTCGTTGTTTTTCAGGATATGTCGGATTCCACATCTGGTACTGGTAGTGGCAGTGGCAGAAGCGGAAGTGGAGGTAAAGGTAGATATGTCACTCGGTTAAAGGGGTTGACAGCAAGGAGGGTAGCTAGAGAGAAAACTCAAGTTGAAGTTGATCCACGTTCTGGTAAGGCATCTGACCCAAATGCTGCTAAGTTTAAGAGCTATTTGGGACTACTAGCTCGACACCATGTTCCGATTACTACTCCATCTTGGGATGATGTAGAGGAAACCGAGAAGAACCTCATATGGCAGGATGTTCAGGTATTTCTATATTTGTTGAATACTTTATATATCATTATTAATTGAATTTAACATTTATTGGTCATTTTACAGCAAAATTTTGATGTTCCTAACACTGAGGTGATGAGGAAGAAGGTTTTATCCTCCATTGCCATTAGATGGAGGGACTTTAAGACTTTCTTGACACGGGAGTATGTATTTGGAAAGTTTCAAGATGAATCTCCCCGTCTAAAGTATCAAATTAGTGAGGAGGATTGGTTACAGTTTTGTGCCAGCCGAGTAGACCCCTCTTGGCAGGATAAAAGACGTGTTGCCTAAGCACGTCAGAGGTTGAATGATGCACGCCATGTATTGTCACGAGGAGGGTATGCATTATTGGAGCAACGTCTCATGAAAGCCAGAGAACAGTCAGCAGGAGTTGATTCTACTGACCTTGTATCTTCATCCCCTCGCTATGAGATGTGGAAGGCAGCTCGGACAAAATCTGATGGACAAATAACTTCTGAGTCTGCACGAATCATTGCTCAGAAAATTGTAAGTTATAATGTCAATTTGAATTGATTCTAATGTGAAAGTTAATGTATGACTTAATTATTGTTAATATGTTGTAGGATGATTTAGTTGAACAGAGCACCCAAGGATCATTTATTCCTCATGGTCGACAAGATATATTGGCGACAGCCATAGGAAAACCAGATTACTCAGGACGTGTGCGTGGTGCTGGTGGATCCTAGGGCCTTCGTGATTACTTTGGTCCAACATCACGAAGGACCACTACCGACTCTTGCGGCCGGGAGGCCTTGCATAAAATGGAGATGCGAGTTTGAAGAAAAGTTGAATCAAATAAGGCGGTCCTTGCGGCAAGAGTTTGATGAGAAAATTGAATCTCTCGCCCGCTCTCGGCAACGGACTCAAGGAACACCTCAAACAATTGAACATGATGTTGTTCGAGTCGGCACTAAAGGGAGTTGTGCTGCTACTCGCTGATCCTTCAGGAGAATATACTCGGATCGATGCATCACACCGAGTGTGAGTTATATGTTGAAGATGACCCCCGCGTCTAGTGGCTATTGGTCGAGTTTTTGAGGGTGGTTTAACCATCCATGGTGTCCCTCTACGAGCGGATCGGACGCGAGTAGTAGTTGATGAAGTTCATGATGCTAATGCTCCAGAGTGCCTTTTCCTAATGAAGAGATTCAATTAGTGGGGCGAGCAAGCGGGACATTCTTGGCTTGGCCAAGACGTTTGGTTATGTCACTATCAACACGAGACCAAGGTAATATATATATATATATATATATATATATATATATATTGTCTATTTTCTCTTTTATAGTATTATAATTATATAAATGTTTAATTAATTGTTATCTTTTGTTTAGGAGGACTTGCGTCGTGCTAAGCATAAAAAACAACCTATTATTGATGAGAATTTGACAGAATGTGATGATGATCCCATCTCAATGTTGTTGACCATATTACCACGGTTGAGGAAGAGACCGTGTCGGATAATATGGGATGTTAGAGTGTTTGGAATTGACAATTCTAGTGTTCCATTATACATTTCCTTGTCCAGATGCTTTAGAAATTGTTGGGGAAATTGCATGTTAAACATTTCCATCATATAATTGTGGGCAATGTAAGTCATTCTCATTTATGTTTCTAAGATTATAATAATTATATTCAACTTATAATTAATTGTTTTAGGTACATTGACAAATTGAGTGTGGAACAAGAAAAATCGAAGTATACGGATTTATTGAGCCTCAATCCATCCAAAAATCTGGAAATACAAAGGTTGGAATCTAACAATATATGCAAACATGGATGAGTGACTCATAAAGACATATATATTTGGCTCCATACATTGAAGGGTTAGTATTTTAATTTGTATTTTAATTTATATTTTTGTAACTAATTTTTATGTCATACAATGTAGATCACATTGGCAGTTAATTGTAATCATACCACGGGATTACACTCGTGGTGTGGTTTTGTTCATTACATCGGAAACCGAGTCAAGAAATGAAAAGCTTATTACAAGGGTAACTTTATCTTTTATTCATTAATTATGTTTTTAAATTGTAAATACATATTGAATAATTTATGACTTTTTTCACTTAGAATCGTGTCCGGAACTAATGTTCTAAGTGGAAAACCTAGAACAAAGACTTTGCAGTTCATTTATCCTAAGGTTAGAAACTTATTTATATAAGTGAATACCATAATTATTGTTTGTATTTAATTTTTGAAAATAACATTATACTTTTTTGCATCATTTCAGTGTAATAAGCAAACAGACTCGTTTGAATGTGGTTACTATGTTATGTATTGGATGAGAGTCATTGTTTGTGCGAGTATAAATGATTCTTGGACGGAGGTAATTGTTTTTAACATTAGTTAAGTTTATTTAACTTTATTCATGTTGCATGTTTACAATAGTCAAATTAATGTTTCAGGTATTTCAAGATCCATCTCCATTACCAGAATATGATATTACCCAAATTCGGGAACAATGGGCAAAATTTTTTGTTCAACAGTTCTAGTACATAATTTTTTAAGTTCTTGTTCATATTATAGTGTGTATTATGTAGTTTAGGTAGCTTAGTTTGTATTAACTTTTAGTTTGTAATAGATTTTTTAGGTTGTATGTTTGTATTATATTCTTTTATTATGTAGTTTGAATTATATAATATTATGTTTTTAATTTACTAGCTACGGAAAATTGAACCTCTGAATCTGTCTGGTTGTAATATATATTTGCAGGTTTTAGTTGTAAAACGGAATCAACCCAATTTTTAAAAAAATACAGCAAATTTACGTCGCATATTGGTATATGTGACGTAAATTTACGTCGCGTATACCAATATGCGACGTAAATTTGTCGTTTTTTTTAATTTCGAAAGTTTTTACGTCTCGTTTAGTGGTATATGCAACGCAAAATTACGTCGGGTCTTGATAATCGACGTAAATTTACGTCGAGCTAAAGGGTCCGACGTAAATTTACGTCTCCCGTTTTAACGTCAGTCTTAAATACGACGTAAAAAGCTCTAAATACCTGACGTAAAAGCTCCTTTTTGCACTAGTGTCAAAAGTCTCGTATTTTTATATATCGAGTTTATATAGATCCTTTGTGTTTTATTTTTAAAGATAAATATATGATAAAGGAGAGTTTCTAGGTCTTCTAATAAATATGTGATAAAATAGAATTTTAAAATAGATAATATAATTAAATTTAACTATACTGACAAACATAAAATTATTTATAAAAATATAAATATTTATTAAGAGATTATAAAAGATATTTTATTATAATTTTCTTTTCAAGAAAATGGCATTCTTATTTGAATCATTTGTGAAAGTTATACTCTCCGTTTTTTTTTTTTTTTTTTTTTACATTTCACCAAATATTGAA